TGTTTTCCTGTGTTTTGGGTGCCTCTCGGAAAAAATCGGGTCTTACATCGTTCTTACGTTCGACAGCCACCCCAGGTGGGAGCTCGGGTTCGGTGGAGGAAGGTTGGCAGCGTCTTTCTCCTGACAAAATGGTTTCTGTGCGTCTCTTGACATCGGGGAACGTTTACAAGCTGCCGTAGCCGCTCTGGCAGGGAAACGGCAGCGCTCGGAAAGGTCGGGGTGCACCTGCAGCACCTGGGCTGTGGGCTTTCCCCGCTAACTCGCCCGCTGCCAGGGCTGCTGCTCTGCTCAGCCGCTTCCCGGGGAGGGCTGAGCAGAAGGTCTGGCCTGGCCCTGGCGACAGCGGCCGCGGTGACATGTGCGGATGTTATGCAACAAAAACTTCATGAGAGACACGCAGGACCAGTTTGGATCGGTGTCTTTCTTCTAGGGATCCATTAGCCTCAACGGCATGTAGGTGCTTGCGTTAGATTGCTTCATTTGTAGGATTAATTCACGGTTCATCACTGACACTTGAGATGATTGCGTTGTCATTTTTTTTGTTTAACTCACGTTAGTTTCTGTCTGACAGATAATCAACCATGTTTGCGTTTTTGGTACTGCTGTGTCAACTCCATGGGATGACGTTTGCGTTTCCTCACTGCACAGGGAGATTAAATAACTTGGAGCCACTTGAATGGAAAGATGGTAACTTACTTTTAACATGATTTTTTGGTTTCCAAAGCTGTATCTAACTTTCCTTCAGCTGAGAAATCCTTTTATGTATGTAGATCTAGTTTTGTTGTTGTTTGTTGGGGTTTTTTACTTAATTAAAAAAAAATAAGTTGTTTTATGCTTAATTTTAGAATATTTGAATATCTTTTGCTGAAATGATTGATAATTGACTTGAGTGTCAATATTAAGTATTTATCAGATCCAGTAAGCGTAGATTGGGACAACTGAGCTTTCTCTAGGTCTCTAGGATTATTGTAATTGAAATAACCAGAATCAAAATTCCGAAAGTTTGAAATCTATACTAACACAGTACTGCTTTGGTACTATTTGAGCACATCACAGTTTTATTTGTGTATCTAAAATTGCTTTGTATTTGAAAGGGTTTATTTACTTGCTTTTCAAGACTGATATTTTTCCTCAATACCAGATTCCTTTATGCCACCTTGAAAGATAAACATAGTGCTGCTATTGCAGTTCTTTGCTTTGGAGGGAGGGAAGTGGAAAGGAATTGAGGTAAAAACAAATGAAGTTCCCCAAAGGGACTCAAGCAGTATGATGCTAAGCCATGTGATACTTAACATTTAAGCATCAGGGCTTCAAAAAGGAATTTGTAACTTAGCTGTCCAGTCCTCTCAGTGGATAAGGAGATTGAAACCTTAAGACAGACTTTTAAAAGTCATCACATTGAGCAGGAGGCTGCTTCAGGCAGTATGTTGAGCAGGAAACATGGCTAGTTGAAAAATACTTGAGACAGGTTATTCATTAAAATCCATATTGCTCTGGGGCATAAAACATCAGGCTGCCAGGCTCCCTCCTGTGAGTTCAGGGTATTGAACCCTCTCCTGACAACAGGCCCAGATCACTCCTCCTTTAAAGACTGAGTTGGAAAGACAGAGGCCCAACTCTTTATCCCACAATTCAGTAAGCAGAACGGTTGCCAAGAATATGGGGTACCTGCATGGAGAAGTTACCCCTCCAGCATTTTCTGAACATCTTTAACCAGCAGAGTTGCTTTATTCAGCATGTTGCATGGATGCATTTTTAATTAAATGCTAGGCATCCTAAAACTGGATTTACCGTTTTGTTGAACTGTAGCCCAAGGACTGCAGGACTGCATTGAGTTCCCTCACATATAGGGGAGAATTAAAATCCATGTTTCATTCTCCAAATACTGTCTTAATCAACAGGTTGTAGGTAATTCTGAGGTGGAGATAAGTGCATTTTGACTATGTCCTACAAAGTGAAAAAAGCACAGATAGATGGATGAAGACTCTTTGAAAGAGAAAAGGAGCATGTATCACTGGGAATTAGGGCTCCAGGCAGCTTGTCTATGCATTCCACGTTAATTAAAATGCATCAGTTATCTAAGTTAATTCAGAAGTATAGTGACTACTACTTGCATAGTAAGGAATGAAACAGTACTGAGCAAAACTTAGGATCTCTGTTTCAGAAGATTGATGTTATTCTCACCATTTCCACTGAACCAAGATACTTGTAGTATTTTTTTCTGTGTAATTCTTTTCCCTTTCCACTTGTGGGTTTGTGTTTTTTTCAGATGAAGTCCTTCTCTCTGGTTACTCTTAGATATAGCATAAATATTAAGCTTAGATTTTCCTGCTACTTTAGCATAACAGATTTCCCTTCCTATACAAATGTATGTGCACATGTGGCTCCTTCAATACATACTATAATATCATTTAAATTATATAAATATATATGACAATATTCTTTCAATATACTGTAATATTAAAGACATAACCAATGTGCAAGTTACTCTGCAGTTTCCAGAGAGCAAGCCATTTTGAGAATACTATTGCAAGATCTAACAGTAACTATAAGAGTAAGAATTCCTGAATGATGTGATAATCCAGCCAAACAAGCTAATAAGAACACAGAATTAATTTGTAGGTGAAAAACGTTATTCTGAATCTCATCTCCTTTTTTTAGCCGTCTGGCTTCATATGTAATAATGCTGTTTCTGCATTACATTTGCAAAAATAATCCTCTAGTCATTTTGCTTAACCAAATAGTCTGAATTTCTTGGGAGTACAGATTAGGCTTTCACTGGAAACAAAGCCAGAAAACTAGTTCTGTCATACAAAGATTTTTTTATTTTAAAGAAGCTGTAGCAAGAGCAGGCTAAAACTTGACTATGGAAAATGCCTGGTGAGAAAATGCATTCCTGTATTCCAAAGCCTTCTAACTCTTCTGGAATCTCACCTCACAACTTACTGCATGAGGCCTCATGGAGCCTGCAATGAGCACAAAAAAAGAAAATAATTAAATGTCTTCAGAAGTGCCTGTTGTCAGTAAACTCCTATCATGGACTAATTCAAAACAAATAAACTTGGCAATATGCAAACCTTTACATAGAGCTTGCTGCCACGATTGTGAGAAGAGAACAAATGTAAAATGAATAGGACTCTACTGCAGTGATTTAAAATCCAAATTCCGTGAAGAAAATGTTGAACTCACAGGTACCTGAATATTGCTAAATGTATATTGAGGATTTGTTAGAAGGAAGAGATTTTTTTTTTTCCCCCCTTCTTCCCCCCCCACCTCACCTCCTTCCTCCAGTAGGTCCATGTCTTGCTGGGTTTGGATCTGACTGAATTTCTGCTTTATGTGACTATTACTTTGTCCTTAAGAGCTCCAGTAAAAAACAGATGCCCACATCCCAGAAGGGGTAACACTGAAACTAGAACAGCTGTCATGAGAATCAAATCCTCTTGGCCAGTATAAGGAATAGCTGAAATGCTTTATGGGAGAGGAAAATACATCTATTTTATATTGCATGGTTAGAAAAGTTAGCAGCAAAGATGACATTTTAGGAGAAGTTGATGTTTCTTTCCTGTACGTAGTTGAGAGATACTAGGGGAAGAAGTGGTCTCAATGCGCTCCTGTAGGATATTAACCATTCTTTAAAAATACCAAGTTTAGCTTTCCTAACTTGTTTTAAATCAACTTCATTTTTTTAAATTAGTGTTCACATCAGAAAAGGAGGCCAATTTATTCATGGGACGCCATCTTCTGAATAACAGATTTGATTTTGAAGCATTCACCGCAGATAACCTGGAAAGAGAATGCTTTGAAGAGCTGTGCAATTATGAAGAAGCAAGAGAAGTATTTGAAGACCCTGATAAAACGGTAGCTGTTCAAACTCAATTTAATATCCTGAAGGAGGTTATTGACTAAGTCATTACTGTATCTAAATAGTGTAGCCCTTTTGAAAACAGCACTTAAAATGACTGTTTATTTTATTGTAAAAGCAGAGGCCTCAGTTAATGGGGTTATTAAGTCTAGATACACAGTTAATACAGATCAATATGCACTATTGTCTTAAAGACTTTAGATAAGGGCTCCCATTCTGCAAACAAGTATAAATGAGTCTTCAGAAGTACTGCTTGTGGATATACCTGTATGTGTGTTCAGGATCTCTTTTTTTTTTTTTTTTTTTTAGTAACTTCTCAGCATCCAATTTGAAAGTGTTCCACATGCTCTATGTATTAATTGGCTGACCGTGGCCTTGTGTCATGCTAAAGAGGCATTTTAGAAGACAGGATAAGGAAGCAAATCTGCAGTTCAGCTGCTGCTGTGTATTAATGCTATAGCATTACATTCTAAATTGCTACCTATATAAACAGCTTGGAAGAAACCTGGTATAAAGAAAGAGAAAAATATGTAAGAAAACTTTCAGCCCAATAATGGAATGTGATTATTGTTTGGAGACGACTTGCTGCATGCAGCAAGAATCTCTTTGTGATTCTAGGTGTGCTCTGCACTAACTTGCAGAACAAGCAAGGAATACACTCCTGTTCTGAAGGTGGAAATGTCAGTTTGACATTGCTAGCTTTTTCCTAAGAAAAAGGTGAAAGTGTTAAATCAGAATCTTGATGGGAGTCTTTTGCTGGGTAGCAAAAGTGGAAATTGCAGCTAAACACACTTAAAGCATAACAGTCACACAACATAAGTTTTTCTCTTAAATTAATCCCATTATTTTTCCTAGCTGATAGGAATTCAAATACTGTTCATGCAAATGTCTGATTCTTAAGAACCTGTCTTTGCCTCATTAGTACTCTTCTGTAGTGATTTACAAAGACTAATTGTAAGCAGTATTTTTAGTATCAGAATATATGCTAAATTATTCTGTAATCAGGCAGAACTATGAGGTAACATTGGATAGTTAAATGTACTTTTCTCTTTCACCAGCTGGCATTTTCTTCTTTGTGAAATTGTAATTTTTATGCAAACTGGAATGTATGAGAAAAATACAGTAGGATAAGCGAGTACAAATCCTCCAGCGGGAGCTGCTTCCGTTTATGCCATTGTTAAATTCTGCCCACAGTACAATATTTTAAAAAATTGTTAATAAGCCTGCCAATTATGTAGCTCACATACATCTATCCCTTGTGTTTTTATAGATGGATTTTTGGAAAGACTATTCAACTAAAGGCCCTAAAATAAAAGTAGGTAAGTAATCTTTTTATCTTTTCTTATATTTCAGTATTTTGTTTATTATAATAGTACATTCTTAAAGATACACCATGCATTCAGTTAGCAAAATCAGACTTGATCTTTTTACTGAAATTCACTGTGAAGCATGCAAGTATATTGCATTATCTTATACAATAAAACATACTAAACTGTCTTACAGTGGGATCCATTATAAGTCTGTCAGTAAAAACAGTATGAATTTTGTTGTCTGTTTCTTTGTTTTATCACAGTTGGTAAACTTGTAATGCTGTGGCTGCTTTCTGTGGTTTTGTTGCCACCCTCCCCCCCCTCCCCATTTCTTTAATAGCAATATAACACTCATAACAGTCTTATGCCACATGTTTTATCAAAAAATAGTAAGTATGACTTGACGAAAGACCTACAGCCTGATGAAGGTCACAAGTACATTAAATACTATTTAAAAGGCATTAGAAGACAGACATCTCAACAGTTTTATGTACAGAAAAGGGAACACTGCTCACTTTTGCTCTTGGGTTGTGTTTCATAGATATGGCTTCTCACCACAAGCCAGACATTTGTGGAAAGGAAAAGCCTTATAGCACAGCAGAATTAGTATTTCACAGTATATACTGTACACTACGTGGATGGAAAGAACACAATGAAAATAACTGATGTTTTATCTTCAGGTGATGAGACTCTACAAAAGATTAATGTAACAGGACTTCTCATCAGTCTAGTTGCTGCTGGAGTACTGTTAGTTATAATTGTACTACTCATCTTCTACTGCTGCAGAAATAGATGCAAATCAAGGCAACCACCAGGGTAAGGAATTTCATTGCTTAAAAAAAACCAAACACACTCTTGCTTAAGAGTGACATTTAAAGATCACTGTGGGCTGGTCTAACTGTATTCTTAGAGAATGCAAATAGGAGTTCTATTTCTTCCTTTCCTGTAAGCAAAGTTAGGTGAGCAGTAGCAGTAGTTACGCTGAAGTTAATTAATAACACAATCTGTTAACTTTCTTTAGGTACTTGGATTATGTAAGAAGTAGAAGACGTAATTCATCTAGCATCTTCAGAAGGCATGAAGAATTTTCCTTAAACCCACTTCCTCTCAGAACTGATGATTCAGGACTACCAACTTACGAACAAGCAGTTAGTTCAGATGGACAACATGATGTGCCACCACCCCCGTATCCAGGGCCCCCACAAGGGGCACGGCTGTTTAAAAAGTCTATGTCACTTCCTGCCCCTTAGTCACAAACCTTCTGGAGTATGGGGGGAGGATTACTAAAACATAACATACTTTTTTGAAAAGTGTGTGCTACCTTGCATATTGCAAGACAGTTTACAAAAATGTCAAAGATCTTTAGCACAACTAGGAACAAGTGAAAATCCCATTTGGGAAAAGAGGTGAGCAGTTGCAAAGGCTGCAGGACTACTCTTTGCACAAGAGTACATCTTCTACTGTCGCCCTCTTCCATATGCACTTTGAGCCATCCCATCATACTATTGATGTTTCATTAATAGTTTATTTTTTTTTTTTCTTCAGAAGGAACAGTATTTCAATTGGTTTTATTGACATTAACCATTTTAAACTTTTTTTAAACCACCATAAGTCTGCTTTGTTGTTTGATGTATTCACTTCATTGCTGTGTGAATTTTCTATTCATTCCAATAATAGATTTGAGTATGAGAAATCATGAAATTTCATGATTTGCTGTTTCAAATGTATGTATATTACTACTTCTGGATTACACTGGTTTGTTTTATACATTGCTGGTTAACACACTAATCAATTTGTTGTACTTTTGTGATTATAATTTGGGATTAAAAGGAACCATTAATTGCATGGCACATTACCCATTCAGACAAAGCATACTTTTATCAAATGGTTCTGATATTCACTTCGACCTGGTATTTAGTGCTGAACAAGTACAGTAGTATAGGTCGAGGGATGTTAAGCAAATAGCTTAAAAAGTACCCAGATTTCACAGATGTTTCCCTTGCAGTTTAAAAATTTAGATTTAGAAAAAGACACTTAGCTTGTGGAATCAAGGGCCAAACTACCCACAGAAGTACTTTGCCTAAGTATGTATTGCCCTATTGGGATGAGAAAATGATACCTTTAAGTAGAATGAAACAACATACTGGATAAATAGCCAGTATCCACAGAGCAATAGTCAAGAATTTCAGGGTTTTAGTGCTTAACTCTATGAACACAATTTCTGTCTCTCCAGTTGTATTATTAAAATATCAACCCCCAGCCTTTGCATTGCCTATAGATCTTGCAGAGCAAGTCACAGACCAACATTGCTGTCCCTGTATCTCCCAGTCAAATGGCATCATAGTGGAAAAGGCTTCCCAGAGCTACAGGAAGATATATTAAGGGGTCTCACAGGCCACATGTCCAAATAGTGTTTTCCTGCATTATGGTAGCTATATAGTTCAACATACGCAATGAAGGTTTTTAAGAAGCAAAGTCATCCATCATTTCCCCCCCCCGCATTTGACCAACACTGACAGCAGCAAATGGTATTTTAATTTAGTGCCTAGAATGCACTTTATATTATAAAGGTTGAATATTTATACATAACATTTCACTGAATTTTATGGTTTTTAACATGCTAGAATCTACAGTGCTATTGAATGAGATGGAGAGGCTTGGTATGAGATTTTTAGTCTGCAAATGCTTCTGTAAAAGAGAAAAGGCTCCAAATCTTAGACTATGAAGAGGGTACATTGAGAATGCTACACAAGGAGGTCTTGCCCTTTGAGAAATACATACAACCCAGCTGGTATCAGCAGACATAGAGCTGTGTTCTTATTCCTAAAGCTTCAGTATCCGATTCAGCTTCTGACAAGTCACAAACCTCTTTGCAGCTTCTTTCTTGTTGAGGGATGAGAAAATCCCCTTGTTGGGATAGCTTCAATTCACTTTTGCCCTACTTGAAAAGCATTTTGAAGTTCTTGGAAGTTATTATTCTCTAAAACTGAAATAAATAAATAGTGCGATATCACCGGTGATAACCAAAATACAGAGTTATGATGAAGGCATGGAATTAGAAGCTTGCAAAAACATTTCTCCCATATTCCCTTTTCATTTAGCTAACAACTTTTAAATTTGTTAATGTGCATCTTGAGCTATAGAGCACACTTTTCTCTAGATTTTTCCTGGGACTAAGCATTTACTAATTTAATGGCACTGACAGGAGCACGTTCAAGGAGAAGGATTTCATAGTGCTTGTGAGAGTTCAGAGATTCTTCCATATTACTAGTGATGTATGCTTCTGGCAAAGTCACGTTTTAAATAAACTACAGAAATTGTACAGAAACCTATAGAAATTTGTTTCTTCTGCTGTTCCTACAAATCATTTGCAAATGATTTTATGCAATGCAAGCAGAAATCCTGACCTTCAGAATTAATAAAAAACCTTAAGATGTTAAGCACCAATGCTGTAGATCTTTGAGCAGTAAACTGCACCTTCTATAGGGTAAAAGACTTCAAATTTATTCAAAGAATCTGCATTTTAGACCCTGAAGATACTCAAGCTATGCAGTGACTGACATTCAAATACTGGTTGCATGTACCATGGCAATTTGCAAGACACATTCTGCTCATTATAAATATGGAGCAAAGTATAAAATGTAGTTGAACATAACGTAAACTTACCTCTCCTTATAAAGGGAGAAAATTCCCTTGAATGGCAGTTGGTTGGGTTGAGTTTGGTTTATTTCTTTCATACATTGACTCCTGGCCCAAGACACGCTTTCTTACCTTGTATCTTGTCTCTTTTTAGAATTAATTCACCAGGGTTAGCCAAATTAAAAAAAAAAAAAATCAAAAAGAGGTCAACTATGGTGACTTGTGAATTCAGACATGTTGCCAGATTTCCAAATTTTATATGCAGTTTCCTTTGAAAATGCATTTGCTATTAGAATATAGAAAACAGCAAATAGAGAAGGAGGAGAATGTAGTTTTTGAAGAGCAAAGCAGTAGCAAGTTTAATCTAATCTGTGTACAGATGTAAAACATCAGTGTTTTGACTTCTGGACTTCCTTTCAAGGACCAGTAGGAAAGGCAGTAGATTTTAAGTGAATTAGAGATCTACTATGACAGTTGAAAACAGAAATGTCTAAACCAAACATTGGGAAAAATTATGTAATACTTCTGTTTCTCTCAGAACAGGTTTGTACATGTCTCACTACATGCTGTAGGCCGTTGCCTTGAAGAGTTTTACAAAATATAGCCCTTTCAGCATCATACGAGATTATAGCATGCAACTTTTTATAAATCAGGACAGATTATTAGTTAGAGCAAATAACTGAAGATCAGAAAAGTGGTCTCTGGCTCTGTCAACTGAAAAATAACTAACATCATCTGTTTTTTGCTTCAGTGATACAAGAAAGTACGAATAGTATTATAAGCATTATGTATTTCTAATTTTTTGAGGGTTTTTTCTTGGTGGTTTTTTTGTGAATTCATTAGAAAAGCAAAACCAAAGTGCTACAAGGAAGTGCACTTCCTCACCACAGTTCATGAAAATATGAGACACAAAGCATTTGATTCTGGTCCTATCAAAGTCTATGACAAGCTTTTTATTGGCTTCAGCTGAACTGGGATTGGAGCCAAAAAAGAAGTAACTGATCACATTAGATAATAAAAAGTTTAATGCTCTGCCAGATTAGTTACCACAATGCTGTTGCCAAACCTGATTTAGAGTATTCTATTGTTTTAACGATGCCTACTTATATTAACTAGAATATTTGAGGCTGATCTGGCCTCAGAAAGTATATTTGAAATTTGTAAAGCATAGGAAAATTCCTAGTCTTTCCTCAAATTACCACCTGTGAATAAACTGCATTAATTACCTGTAGGGTATTAGCAACACCGTTTGATTACTTTGATCAACAGTACACATTTATTTAAAAACAAAACAAAACAACCTACCACCACCAGAACAACCACCTTTCTATCCACAGTCTCATCTGCCAAGAAAAGTTTTATAGCTGCTATCACACCTCACTTGTTCCATGTCGTGTAGAGAACAGGAAGGAAACCCCAGGTTTAAAAGCATCTTTCAAACACTTCCAAGTTTGCTCTTTCTACACTGTAAATGTTTTTCAACTAATTCCTAGCATATGCAAATTTATCACCATTATAGTTTTTCACAATCAAGAACCTGCATGTATTTTCCTCTCAAAAATATTAAGCACATCTTCCCGAATACCCTGCTCTTCATTCAGGTGGTAACTTTTGACCATTTCCAGCCATTTCTGAACTCTGCAAACAGTTCTTGTTACTTGATCTTATGAACATATTTCCTTCTACTCATCTGACAAAGCCTTCTGAATGCACTTGTCAGTGGTTATATTTTAATTTTGACTTTGATGTTAAGTGCTGTCATTTTGTTGGGGAAGGGGTAGTAATATTTTAAACTCTGCTAGTCTCTGTATTGTTTTGTAAAACTACTTCCAAATAAACATTTACGGAGGTTAATCATAGTAAAAAAGAAAATGCTCATATAGCTTATGATAAAAGTTAAAAAACCTCTAACAACTCTTTTGATTTTTATTTATTTTTAAATCAAGTTGGTGACTTCAGAAGAGCCTGCGCTCTTCTTCATGCCATATAGCACCTATCGACAGGGAAAAGGGGTCATGGTTTGTCTTCTTTTAACATTGGCAATTTCTACTCTGGACAGAAGCTTCCTACTTCACTGCTCCACTTCACTTAAGCATCTAAGGTTCTGAACCATGAACTGCAGTCACTGAAGGTTGAGTCTTCATGACAAACAAGCCAACTGAACCAGGTGTTGTACCCTTCCATCTTCCCTGACTTTGGTGAGAAGATTTAACACAGTACTGTGGCCGAAAAATATCCACTTTCTTAGGGTTAGTGAAGTACGCAAGATCACTCCACTGAGGACCAGAACAGGCATGCAAAAGCAACATGGGAAGCACAACTTCCTCATGGCAATGGTGATTTCAATCTGAAGTGAAGGTACAGTACACATTGTGCAATGAGAATAAACTTTGGCAGAGAGGCAGAAGGGATAGATGAGGGCAGCTAGATAGAGCAAATACGTAGCACAGCGAATTACACTAAATGAAGCCACTCTTGTTCTGCCCACTGGAAGACAATAGTCAGATTTGTGCCTTTTCTCCCAACCACACAAGATGAGCTGAGCTAGCTACTTAAAAGTATCCAAAAAATACCAGAATCTGCTATACTTGAATATCCAATGAAGCTTTTT